ACTCATTTACCCAAGGGAGTGGTCAATGCGCCTGGAGTAGGAGATATACGGGTAGATGAAGAGGCAAGCAAAACCATGCTAGAGACCAGAAGAAATCAAAAGCAGAAAGATCAATTCTTCATTCATCCATGTGCCCATCCACATACTCTGTTAAGGAGTATTAACAAGTAATGGCTGCAGAAGTTTGATTCCTGGAACAGAGGTTGCAAACTCATGAACCATGGACAGATCCAAATTCCAGCTATGTCTCGCACAACATATTTTGTTTGTTTCTGTGTTCATTTTAATATGACCCAAACTTTAAAATGGATTCCCCACAGAAACCTAGATTTTCTCCTCTGAAAATTCAATTCTGGCAAAACTAGACCCACATTTCCAGCTAAAGTCGAGTAGGAGATGCATCCCTGAACAAGGGACATCAATAATCAATTTTCCATCATTCCCCCCATTTATCTGTGTGCCTGATATTGAAGCCAATTTTAGAGGCCACAGTTGTTGTGATTTTACTGCTGTCTAACTTCAGCAGAGAACCCTGTCTTTGTACCAATGTAACTATCAAAAATGAGAAAGTAGGAAATAAATGGAAAGAAGATCATTTCAAGAAAAATAGGAGAGAGCGTATTTCTTTGTGAAAATGATGAATTGTCCCATGTTTTTAATGCAAATACAATGTCTGTGTTAGAAGAATACAGCTTAAGGTGTCCTTCTGCTTACATAATCCTACCATACTCATCTATGTTCACTGTTTTGCATTTGAATTTCCAATCCCAAAGAAAAGGGAAGTCTAAGGTAGAGATTCCCAAAAAATGTTGAGATTAAAGCATGAAGTTAGCCTCGTAAAACCTTCTGTCATGGCGTAGTATAGTAATTCCAGATATTCACCAAATTACCTGGATTTCTGTGATTCAATTAGTGTTTCCCTCCTTTAAGTTGATTGTAGTATCCTAAGGGGTATGGCTATGGAAGAGATAGGGCATGGTACTATAAGCCACATATTCATTTAATAAATATTTATTAATCATTTACCTATAATTAATTACCTCTTAATCACTTACCTCTACTTACATAGCTCCAAAGACTGTTCTCGGCTGGGAGTTAGCAGTGTGAGTATAAATGTCAACCACTAACAGTTGCCTTGGATACCAGAGACAAAGTATAAATGGTAGGGACTACAGCAAATTGGTCATGGATGCCTCCTGTTCAGTGGTTCATCCCCTACTCAACTTCAGCTGGAAATTGGGTCCAGTTTTGACAAATCTGATTCTGGCACTTTGGTTCTTGGCACTCTGCTAGGTTTGGGATGTATAGCAGTGATCAAGACAGATATGCACTAAAGTTTACCTTCTAGCTAAAGAGATAATTAGATAATAAATTATAACAAAATATAAATATTATATGAAGCGAGGGTAGTGTACCAATTAGAGTACGTAGCACCATGTCAATTAGGAATGCTTTCAGCTTCAAGGAAGAGAAAGTCCAAATGATGGTGGCTTAAACAGATGGGGGTTATTTTTCTCATATAACAAGAAATCAGGTAGGGTGGTGTTTATGAGGTAATTCCAAAATGACAGGGCTGGTGTTCCTGTGATTTTCTAGATTTTTCCTTCATGGTCACATGAGATATTTATGATGTATGATGGACAAGAATTGGTTTTGGATACAGGGAGACAGGCAAGCAAGAATCAGAGATGACACAGACCTCCACTCTTGACAACTGCGTGGAAGTGAAAAATTTTCCTGAGATAGCGGTAATGGGCAAAAGACCAAGTTTGTCTAAGAAAGAAAAAGACAAGACAGCAACCTTGTCTGAACTTTACAGCATTATTATAGAATTTTTTAAAAATAACATGGAAAGTTGTATCTTGTTCAATAACTAAAGGGAGCCATAGCCTTCACGAGTATATGAGAAACTGAGCCAATAAAGGGCCCAAGGCTAACTCAACTTGGATCCCTGCTCTTAGGCAACCTTTATTAAATACTATCTCCACTTGCAAACGGGAAAAGAGCATCAGGAGAAGTAAAACCAGCATTCTTCCTTGCTTTACTTTCATGTTATTCTAAAAATGATTTAATTTAAGAATACACCAATATGAAGGGAGAGGAGCTCTGTGGAAGGTATAATATCGAGTGTATTAAAAATGTATGACACACTGTATATTCTCACAGGAGCCCTATCCAGAACCTCTACAGCTGATAAAATGACATACAAATGTGATTAATAATGTTATAAATCCTGTTGATTGGAAAACTCAGGGACATATGACAAATTGACCTGACTCTTTGATTTAAACCAATATCACTGAAATAACCTTTCATATCCTGAGAAAGAATAATGTCTTGCCTGCAGGATAGAAAACAGCATCAGAAAATGCAGTTGTCTTCTGAGGTTTGTTTTCATACATTAAATGCTCTTGAAACATTTTATATCTGAATCTTTATATCTAGATTCTGAGCTCCTACCCCAGAATTGCTACTATTTCATTGACCCCCCCTCCCAAATCATTTGTATGATTTATGATGCAAAATAAAACAATAGGAAAAAAAAAAAAGAAATATGCCAAGATGCTAATAGCGAAAATCTTTAGATGGTATCTGAGTGATTTTTGTTCATTTCTTTTTACTTTATGGAATTTTCCCAAGTTTTCTACAATGACACATGGTGGGGGTGGAGGTGACACAAAAGTTTACATTAAAAAATAAAGAAATTAAAAGAAAAAATCATTTTAAAAACAAAATTGTTATAAGTGCCAGTGCTTTCCACCAGATCTAGGTAAAAAGGTCACGAAGATTGAAATGAATCTGATGAACAACCAACGCATAATAGAATGACATACACAACTAGCATTATCGCTGCGCATTCCCAACTCACGGCCCAGCTGCTGTTCTCTATTTTGGTTTTTCTGCACCTTAACGAGTAATGTTCATATGAAAATCAAACTATCCACTCTCTTTTGGTTAGACTCTCTACCTTTAACAAAAGGCATCTTTTCCTTTTGCTCCCCAGTGTCTTCTGTTACCCAAATCCTGACATTCTTCTGAGGAACCAGCCCTTCCTCCCATCTGAGACATGGGTTTACAGGACAGCTGACTTCACTCCTGGCTCCAGGTAAAAGCACATGATTCATTCCTGGCCAAACAAAAGGTCACATTCCCTGGTTACAGCATTTGGTTCAGGAACGGCACATGATCAATCTTAAAGAGATGCAGTAAGACCAAGGGAGAAGCACATGCTCTTCACTGCTGAATTTGAACCTGGGCGAGTGAGTTGTTGTTGTTTGTTTTTGTTTTTATTTAACTGGCATATAAAGCCTGGGAACAAAACTCATCTGGAGAAAGATTAGGTCCTCATTGTATTGTTTAAGCCCCTGCTTCAAGTCATTCCTAAAGGCTTCACTGCTTCTGGGCTTTCTAATATAGAAGCCAGTGACTAACTTCCCTTTGTGCTTAAGCCAGTTGGACTTGAGTGTTTATCCTTTGCAGCTGAAAGAGTCCTACCTGACATAAATCTTTTATCTATTTAATGCCCTACTCAGGTTATTGTGACCAGGGGGGTTAACTGTTGTACCTTGTATATGATAAGACCAACAGAGTTGCACAGGTAGACTCCTGGAACTGTACTCCATACACGAACTTTAGGTATATATGCAGCACTTTGTCTATTAGAGCCTGAGTACCAAAGTTTGTACACTAAAGACATAAGCACAACTATCAATGTTTATATTACAAATAAACTAACTCTAAAGTTAAATAACATATACAAACATTAATACATACTAATGTATTAAAATAAGTTATGCTTTAGATAGTTCTAAGCAGTATTCTAACAACAGTTCTTATGTTTTGACAAATATACCAAATAATCAACTCAAGCAAAGTTCTCAATCATATTGAGTTTCCTTGTCATTCAAAGTTCACAACAATTTGAAGGTAAAAGATTTTGTGTCTGAAGGTACAAAAACTCCATCTAGTTTAAGCTCACTCGCACTCTATTTAAGAGCATTCTGATATAAGCAAGGACCAAAGAACTTCTATCTTGGTTTGCAGGAAATAACTATAAACCCATCCACTAATTCTGAAGGTACCTTGTTTGAGAAGGAGAGGGCTCAGGGAAAAGGAGAGTGTATGCTATCCTTTGTTTTTCTTCCTCCTCCTACAGGATGGGGGATTCAGTGGCACATGACCATACAACCGTGAAGGTGAATGGAAGCCAGAAAAGAAAAGACAATTGCTTTCTCCATCACTGTTAGATATGATCACTTCTGGCAGTGGTCCTTATGGTCTGCTATACGGTACCAATGTGCTTTACTGCCATCTGCTATATAATTGTCATAATATAATAATTTTGTTTGAACGGGATATTTTTTGTATCTTCTAGGCAAAGGCAAAGATAAACATACCAATGCACTTTGTTATATGAACATACCCGTTAGATGTGATACTCTCCTTCAGTACACATCTAACACAACTGTACATGGCAGCCCTGTGAGCAAAGATTGTGATAAATAATACCATACACACTGGCCCACCTTGAAACATTTCAAGTCCTTTTGACCCTTATCTCATATTTCTGCCATTTCTGCTATCAATATTGGACATGTTAGATCTGCTCACCCTCCTGTGTCCAGATAACAGGGTCATAATGATGCCAGTTACACTGGAGAAAGGAAACAATCATTTTTTTTACATTTGTCATATGCTGGGAAACATATTTTCTCATTTTCAAAATTATCTTTTTCTGTACTTTTGTTTTTATTGCAAAGTAATTTTTTTTAAATCCAAGCAAAACAGTAAGGGATAAGGCAAAAAATAAAGGTCTTCCTCCTAACGATCATTCTTACTCCTCATAAACAACAATAATTTCTCGAGTGTTCTTCCACTCAAGTTCTAGGAAGTTTCTATACATATACACATCATCAACAAATAAAAACGTGTGTGCATGAGAAATATAACTATTCAGATAAAGGGGCTCTTAGTAAGTGCCCATATCCCCCAGCTGTTACCTGTTTGAATAGGCACATCCAGGAATTCACCTCAAAGGAAAGTCTTCATTCTGCAAAGAAAAAGTAGTTGCTCGTAGTTATACAAATACAAGATGAGCGGACACTCAGTCTCCTGGGACAAGACTATAAGGGGACAATTCAGGCGTGTGTGTTTTAGCAAAAGCCATTTCTATCTTTGGTTTGCAGAGTGTGGAGAGGAGATTGACCAATCGGAAAAAGAACCTATCTCCACTGTCTTCTGGGAAAGAAGAAATCTAGAGTTCAAACTCTGCCCGAAGTTAGGGAAACTAGCTAGATGGCTGGTTGATGGTTCCATTAGGAATGTCTACTGAGGCCTCCCTAGGAGGGCTAAAGGATATCAGCTCATCATCAGGGCCCAAGAGTTTTCACTGCAGGGTTCCTTCAAGGAACGTGGCTAAGACTAGACTTGCGAAATGGAGAATAATGACTGAACTTGTGAGTATAAACTAAAAACAGCTATCCTAACACAGCACAAACATGGGCCATCACAGCTTCTCAAGATTCTAGAGGAGTGAGGCATTCCAGCAGCCATGGCCAAGTGTCACCTGATGGCTGGTGCCACAACTAGTCAGTACAACTTAGCCTAGAAATGAAAAGGCCAGCAGAGGATTGAACAGACTCTGCTAAGCTAGCTCCCCCTGGTGTTAGGAGCTGGATGACACTCCCCTTTTGAACTGCATAAACCCTGGAGTTTTTAAAAAATTTATTAGGGCAATGTGGATACTTGTGCAATTAGTGGAAAAAATAGGAGAGATGTAGTCAGCTGTGTACCAAGTTAGTGAAGCATATCAAGCTGGTTACAATACCATATATTTTCATGTCTATACATACTTATTATATGTGTGTAAACACATATACACACATCTATTCATGTGTCTGCATGATGCCTACCATATACTATTTTTCAACTAGTTATTTAATGTAATAATAATTCTTGGGCATTTTTCCATATTTGTATATCTATCTCATTTCTTTTCATGGCTACATATAATTTTATAGTACAGATTTATTATAATTTATTTAATTAGTTTCCTAATGATGGTCATCTAAGTTGTTTCCACTTATTCATTATTGCAAACAATGATGCAATAAGTATCTTTATATATATATTTATTTATATTTATATTATATATATTTTTTTATTTATCCATGAAATAAACTTCTAGAAGTAAAATTGCTGAAAAACAGGTATGTGCATTTAAAAGGATAAGAGATTTGCCTAATTTTCCTTCAAAATAATTGCACCAATTTATACTCTTACTAACAGAGTAGAAATTATTTTCCTATATTTTCCCAAAAGTTGAGAGAATTAAACGTGTTTTTTTTCAACTCTAATAGTGAAAAATATCATTTCATTTGATGTTGCTCAACAATCCTAGGAGACAGAAATCTTTCAGATGAGAAAACCGAAGCTAAGAAAGGTTGTATAACTTATTATATGGCTAATAATTAAATGAACAAATATTCAAACCCTAATATATTTGATTTCAAAGCCCATTCTTTCATTCATGTAACAGAGCTTACTATGTTTCAGGCACCGTTCTAAATAAATTACATATATTTGTTCATTTTGTCTTTCTATCAAGATTTTAAGGTAGATGCAATTAATTCCCATTTTACAGATGAAGTAACTGTAGCAAAGAAAATTTAATCTATTTGCCCAAGGCCATATAGCTAGTAAATGGCAAAAATGGGGTTAGAATCTCAGCTGTTTAGCTTCCATTTGTTTATCTTAATAGTAACTTCTTTAAAATAGTTTTGCAAAGAGAAAAAGTCACCTCTGCAAAGGCACTGGCTCTACATATCAATGTTTATAAAAAACATTAAGAGGAAATAAAAATGGGCTAAAGAACACCAATTCGATGGGCTTCAAATGGCTACTTATTTTGATATCCAACCAACATAATCCCTTCCTCTCTCTTTTTCAGATTTAAAGGTGACACTATGTCTTAGGGTTTGCAGTGATTGTCAGTAAGGTTGCCGGTGTTATGCACAGCTCCATTGCTATCACACATTTTGTGACATAAATTTAATCATTTAGGTGGAGGGGATGGATATGTAACAGCCATTGTGCCCTAAGCTGCCCAGATTATGGGCAGTATTAGCCTGCCCAGTATTAGTTGTGATGATGTGAATGGAAACAATGAAAAAATGCAATAAGAAAAAAAAAAGCATTCTTTTAATGTTTTTACCATAGATTTTTTATCATGATATTCTAAAACTAGAAAATTCAGCATTATTTTAAAATAAGGGGGAAATGCTAGACTGCCACATTTGCCCTAGAAATTAGTTTTGTAAAGAAAATTAAAATGGACTCCCTAAGATACTGTGTATCTAGACAATAATTTTATGAGGTAAATAAGATAAAAATATCTGTCTTAGCTAATTGTAAAATAATACTTCTATACCAAATAAAGTATTTTACTAGATTTAACATCTTCCAATATATTCCAACGTCCACATAAGCATAAATATATAAATGTATTTATATAACAAATTAAGGTAAAAGGAAATCAATTCATATAAATAATTAATTCTACTAAAGTATTTCAGCTAGAAAACTCAAGCGGTTTCAAAGTTTCTTGGGCTGAGTAACAGGAATAAGCATTGTCTTTTTGTTTTTTTTTTAAACATCTCACTGTTCTTTGTATATTCCATTGTTACAAAACCAAAGACCATGTCAAAGAGTTGTCTCATTAATACTGAAATAGGATGCCATTAATTAGGCTTATTAATGGGCTTTGGAATGTAGTCAGTACTTTAATGGGCTTTCAAGAGCAGTCAGTTCTGTAAGGGGTTTACTTTTCATTGGTCACCATTATGTATGAGAAATATTGTTACGGCTTTCTCCAGTTGGTCAGTAATGTCAAAAAAAAAAAAAAAGTTCAGAAAAGACTTCACATTAATTTAAGGAGTATAGGTCTGATGGAGTTTCTTTCTGTCATCTACTTTTAAACACATATTGAATCATATTATTAAACTATATCATAGAAAGAATTGGTCTACGTGGCTTGTTAAAAGGTGGATTCATCGAGATAAACATTGTAGCTTGGTCAGAACAGTGGGAAAGCATTCATGCATTCATTCATTCATTCTTTCAGCAAATATTTAGTGAGTCAGCTCCCTGCTGAGTTCCAGAGATACAGCAGGGAACAGAGCAGACGAAGCCTTCAGGTACTAAGGAGTTCACCTTCTAGTGGGGGATTTTCACAATTAGCAATAAATCAGTAAAATCTAAGTACGTCACATGACAATAAGCAATATGAAGAAAAATAAAGCAGGGGCAGGATTGTTGGGAGGGAGCCGTTTAAAATAGAGTGATCAGAGAAAAACTTTTGGAGAAGGTAACATTTGAGTAAATACCAGAAAAAACCAGCAATGGAAATGTGAGTGGGGAGAACATTCTGGGTGGAAGAACTGGCAAGTGCGGGGTGAGAGAGCATACTGTAAGGACACTGGAAGGACAAATGCGGTCGGCAAGTAGGGCCATGGGAAGGAGACTAGGTCCAAGATGAAGTCCAAGAGATGATGTGGACCAGGTCTAAGGCCACTGTCAGGACTTTGGCTTTTACTCCGAGTGAGATGGGGAGCCGTGAGTGTTCTTAAGAAGAGGAGTTTAATGATCCAACTTAAAAGGGTCTGAAGGAATCAGTCTGCCTGCTGTGCTGAAAAAAGTCCAAAGGGGACCTGTTAGGAGGCTACTGACCATCCAGACAAGAGACAGTGGTGCCTTGAACCTTGGGTGGTGAATAAAGGTCATACTCTGGATATTTCGAAGGTAGAAACAACAGAATATGTTGACTCATTGGATGTAGAAATGAGAGAAAAAAAATAATTACAAGACGACTCCAAGATCTTTGGTGTAAGACGCTAGAATGATGAAAGAATTGTTAAAATTAAAAGGAATGTCCAGGAAAGAAAATATAACATTAGCCAGTATTGACAAGGTCACTGACTAAATCAAGACAGGAAATTATTCTCATTGCTTTTAATTGCCCACAGGAAACATGGAATGAACAGAGAGGACCCCCAATGAGAGAGGACCCCCAATAGCTTTCCCTGACTTAGATGCTTATTATGAACGTATTATAATTATCTTTTCCACCTAAATCTCAGAAACATCTTCTAATTTTAAACAATTATTCTGGGAACTTGAGTTTGATTATTAATTTTAGTCATTGGTACTTCTACCCATAGACAAAATGATTCCATTGCAAAAATACATATTTAGTACCTAATATGGGCCAGCAAGTCACTAGACAACCTAGGCAGGAACATTAGGCATTAGGGATGTAATTATGAATAATACACACTTGCTTTTCTAGTCTTCATTTTTTTCCTAGCATTCCGACAGTGTATACCCCTGTTATAAATAGAATGTAAACATGTGGGAACTGATTTAGCTGGAAATGATTGAAAAGAACCTTGATGTAAAAGTACCAAGTGGAGAGAAAAGGAAGCAAGGCTGGCATCTGAAATTGCTGTTAAATATGAAATGTGACCTAGGAGAGAGTGGGGCCATTTGTATTTACTATGTAAAACGTTTTCCATTACAGATACACTTCAGCTCTGCCTGCTTCTGTATTAGGAAAGTCAGAAGCACCACAATTGGGCTCTCTCTGGGATTCTTAAGTTCGGAAATACAGGGCAGCTGTACATCAAAGTAATCTGGCTATGCTAACTTCAGAAAGAAGGAGAAGGAAAATACATGAGATAACTTTAAAATGCCACTAAATCAAAAGGACTCTGGCAGGACAGGAAACTGGCAGAGTATCCAAGACCTAATTTGGAAGAGGTTCACAATGGTGAGGAGGAAAGCATGTCACTGTCATTGGCTCCCAGAGATAAGGAAGCAAATTTTAACACATCCTGCTCACGTCTTGCCACCCAAGTTACCTGTGGTGGGCTCTTTCTTGGCAATATAATTTACCCAACTTAGTCTGGTCTTTTTCCTCTCCCCCTCCCCCTTTTGATAAATGGATTTCATTGGATCCAAAGCTATGGTGGAAACTCAACTTCTCTTTCTCCT